CGTCCTGGGGAATTATTTTATGAGCTAACAAGAGTTAACAGATTTCACCGTGGTGACTCGACGAGCTTGCTCCAGCTTCACAAGAGTTCACAGGTTTGAGTGTAACTTGTGAACCGGAACTAATGATGCAGCTTGCAAAATGCGCCCCTCCCCGTCACCGAACAGCGCCGAATTTCCTTTTCGTTGAAGGGGTCGCTGTCCTGATCTTTCCATGTCCGCGATATACTGTAAACATCTGGAACTGCGAAAACGACCCACTACCCCCCCCCCCCTCCCATCCCTTCCACCCCTGACTCAGTATTATACGCTTCGGTTGCGATTGTTTCAGGTTGTGAAAAAGATTCGCGGCGAGCTTGAAATCGATTCCGTTCGTCTTGAATCGATTCTCACAGATCTCTATGTCTCGGTAATGGTGCAGCTAATCGGAGTAAAGCAGCACCACGATTCGGATCGAAATTATGTCAACAAGTCCAGGAAACAAGCGAAAGCTTCCACACCGAAGCGTCATGCATCGATGTTTGATATAAGTTTGCGGTGAGTTCATCGTGAGTTCGAAATGGTTGAAAGCGAATGAATATTAGTCCCATTGTATCCGAAGTTCACATGGCTAAAACCTCGCTCAAGGCACATTATGCTCTTGTCGGTGCGGAGGCGGTAGAGAATATCTCACTGGAGCGCCCGTCATCTTCACCTCTGGAAGAAGGGCGCCCTCCTGAGGGATGAATAGTTTGACTGTCCCTGCCCATACTATACGCGTGGACTGTGCCTGTGAGACATACGGATCAGTTGAATTCTTCTTTTGAAATATATAATTACCAGTCGTATCAGAAGGAGCCTCGCCAGCTGACGCCGGCGCGGCTCCTTCTGATACGGCCCGGCTTCGCCGCGCGTGCTTTCTTTCACATATTTCTAGACTCAACTGATATCCGCCTTTTGTTCTGTACTCCACTTTTTTCCGGTGTCTGAAGTACTCTTGAGCTATTTTACAGATTCTTCGTCTGACTCCGCCCACCTCGGAGCAGCCCGCCCACAATGTTTGTGCCCCACAATCCTCACCGCGACCCTCTGCTGACCTTAGTCCACTTTTTTCCGGTGTGGAGTGTTCTGGAACCGAGCTACAAACTTTTAAAATGAATACCCTGCGATTTAGGGCAAGCTCCGCCCACTGTGGGCGGGTCTCAACACACTTTGAGCGTGCCCTATATTCGCCGGATATTACACGGAGTTTTTTGCGACTCCCAAACACTCTCGCGAACCGGGTTACTTGCGAGAAGCACCGCCCACCTTG